AAAAAAGTTTTTTTAATCAAGCCCCCCCTCCCCCCCCCCGGTCAAGGGTGTCCCTCTTTTCCAATCTGAAAATCTGGTCACCTTACACTATGACAGAATCTGTTTTTGGAGACTCTGTGGGCAGGTGATTAGCTGAAGCTGATTGGTTGACTGGTTGTTGCAGAGATGGTTATGTTAGGTAGTTCTCAAGACTTGGGAGACAGATAGTGGGAGGGTTGTGGGAGGACAAGGGAATTGTGGAAAATAAGGCAGGTAGTAACATCTGAATGATGATGGGAAGAGGGAGATATGGCAAGAAATTGGACTGGATTATACACAGAAAAGACAAAATTAATGTTTGAAACCAATTCTGTTGCCTGGTACTCAAAATTCACCAATGATGCCAAGTTTTTGGATCCTCAATATCCTGGTCTCAGGATGGTGCTATTGAATACCACATTGGGGAATTACAAAGTACCCCAACCCTACCAAGTTCCGGGATCAATAACAATGTGTCTACCTGATATGTATATCTATTTTAGTTACAGTATTAGCTTATTTTTCTAGTTAGGTTTATTCTCTCTTGCTTGGTTGCAGGCAATGCACTTTTATTTTTAAAAAAATCTTGAGTTGGGTAACCTTAAAATATAAATTTAAATAAATGAATGAATATAATAGCTGCAGAAATTATCAGAAAGCTTACACTGAAATTTGCAAACAAGCTTTTGAGAAGAATCTATGCAAGGCGAACAAATTAAATACACATGTGAAAAAAAATTCTTGGAATATCTTGGTTCCTTACCCTTTTTCAGGCTATTTTTTGGAACTTCAAATAGAGATTTTCCCCCCTCCTCTGCCATGTTAAGAATGGCAGCCTTGCACTGCCTAAACTATACATATAAAGTACATTAAATCATCTAATTAAAATAATGGTTGTTAAAATCATTACCCTTTGGCTTTACCATGTCCCATCTTCAGTATTTTAATCAAAGCCAAAGAACACATGCAGAATAATTTCTTTAACATGTGCCTGGAATTTTTAGACTTCCCAAATCATAATCACTGTGAAAAATAAAAACTTTACTCACCATGAGATAGTCAACGTTGTTCCAGAAAACAGCAAGTTCCATTTCCTTCCGCTTGGATATTAAACGGGTATTATGCCCAAATGGTGCAATCTGAATTCCATTACTAGTATACGGCATTTGGATTTTACTAGGGACAAACATATACTTTTAGACACTTTGCGGACTTGTATGGGATCTGGCAGAAAATTGTCCCTTGACATTGTCCCTTGACATTGTAATTAATGACTGCAGCTGGAACGGACGAACTACTGTCATAAATTGGGTACAGTCACATGAGGTTTTTTTTCATTTTAAAACTGTGTCATTTAATGGTGAAGTTGCTGGTCCCTATTATGCTTTAAGTGAGGACTACCTCTATTATCATGAGTGGGATATCCCACTGGACAATGATAAAGTTATGGCTTTCAGGCCACTTGCAGCTCACAACCACCTAGAGGCCTCAGAATGACACTGCACAATGTGTATAAAGAAAAACTGATATGATTTTCTGCCCTTCTCGTCTTTGGGAGGCCCAAAAAGAAAAGGTGATGCTTTAAAATGTTATTTACCTATGATCCAATGGTGTCTTCTTGGGTGTCAAATATATCAGCCTGATGATATTTTACATGTATCCAGGCAGGCAGAGCTTAGGATGTGACGAGATGATTGGCAACATGTACACAAACATTCTTGTTACTCATAGTTAGCCAAAACTGATACCAGGGGTGGGTTTCAGCCGGCGTTTCTGCCAGTTCGCTCATGCACACGCTTTGTGTGCATGTTTTGAATGCACGCACACATGCAGTTCAATGGAAATTGTTCTGTGCATGCGCAGAACTCCAAAGAAAGATGTGGTGGCAGCAATCTGGGAACTGGTTCGGGGCCATGTCCAGCCTGGTTCGCTGCCAGTTGTGCACCCCAGGCCGGTGTACCACTGCTGGTTGGGTTGAAGCGGGCATAACTGGTAGGAACCCACCTCTGACTGATACATCATGAGAGATGGGATCACCTTCCACTGAAAGTGGATACAGCACAAATGCCCTTCTCAGCATCAGCTGCAGCTTCCCAGCATTTTAATGATGATTCATTACAAACACATTAGATTAGAGCTGAAGCCCAAGGGCACAACTACATATAGGTTTGGTTTGGTTTTATTGGACTTATATGCCGCCCTTCTCCCAAAGGACTCAGGGCGGC